TTGGCGCATGTTGATTTGGTTGCAATGTCAGTGTAAATTTTAATGCAGTATGTGCCTACCCTTCCTTGACAAAAGAAAGACGTAAGGAAATGGCGTGGTCCTCAAGCTCTCAAAGTCGTTCCTCAAGCAGAGGAGGTTATGGAAGTGGATACGGAAGCGGGAAAGGCTATGGTCGTGGCAGTTACAGAGGCCGTGTGATGCCGTGTGCTGCCAAGAAGTTGGGAAGTTCACATATTCCTTTCGTTGCCATGTGGAGAGGATCCTTGAGGATCCACTCGAACACCAATGGTCCAGGGAATGCTGTACCTAGGCTAGCAGCTAGCCAGAACAAGGTCCTGCTCTGCCACACCGTTTCGCCAAAGACACCAACATCTCATTGCCCTGGAATCCTGTCCCCAATCAAGTAGGTTGGCGGCCAGCCGGCTGACTTATTAAGGTGCCGAGCAATTGAACTAGACAAAACTGGATATTGCAAAAGACATGCAGGTGTCACGGGCTTGCCACTTTGTTTTTAAACCCTATGGCATAAGTGCATTTCAACATCATCGTTGCCCATCTTGATTTTTGAGTTTCTTGTTTGAAGTGACACACGAAGACTAATTGAAGACAGCAGAACTCCGTGGAGGTTTTCGTGACGACTCCCGGGGCTTCCGGGACAACTACGACCGAGACGGCTACGGCGGTTACAACGGCTACAACCGGAACGAGGGCTTCCGAAGGAATCGTGATGATCGTGGCTACGACCGAAGCTTCAGTCGAGGCCGTGACAGCTACCGTGGCCGCAACGACTATGGTGGTCGCGAGAGCAGTCGGGGCGGCTACGGCGGCTACCGCAGATCGAGGAGGTTGCTGAGTTGAAAAATGTTTGATTTATGCTCTTTCTCAATCAGAAAAGGACGTTATGCGGGTGTGTGCTTTCCAGTGTTCTCGAAAACGCCTGTTTTAGGACTTTGCATGTTGAATGTGTTCAGACGTTGAGGACGAGACCTCGTAGCCGTTGGGCTCGTTGTCTGCTCGTGAGTAGTAGTCTTCCTAGTTCACTGGATCTTGGGGGGGTGGTCGGCCAAAAAAGGAATAACATATTGGGTTTGCCTTTTGGTGGTATCCCTTTTTTTTGACCAACCCCCCCCGAGGTACTACCCCCCCCGAGGTACTACCTGTGGGGCATGAAACTCCCACAGGTCACAGGGTGAATGGCATGAAGCTCCCACAGCTCACCCGCACAGGTCAAAGGGTGAATTGCATCACCATCACAAGTGTCGCAAGCATTGCCATTGCGATTAGCATAAATTGCTACAGGTCACAGAGTGCGTGGCCTCAACCTCCCACAGGTCACAGGGTGAGTAGCATCAAGGTCCCACAGCTCACCGGGTGAATGGCATTATCATCACCATTGCATTTACATTGCCACCACCATTTGCACTACCATTGCCGCAGAAGTTGGCATTGCCATTGTGATCCCTATTGCCACAGGTCGAGGGTGAACGGCGTCAAGCTCCCACTCTCACAGGTCACAGGCGCATAGCTCGCACAGGTCAAAGAGTGATTGGCATTCCATCACCATTGTCATGAGCATAACCATTGCCATTAGCGTTGCCACATGTCACAGGGTGAATAGCCATTACCGTTACCATTAGCGTTACCACCGCTTTTGGCATCAGCATTAGCATTGCCATTAACATTGCCAGTGCCATCAGCATTAAACATATATATTGGTGGCAATCGAATCTATATTGCTAGCATTCAGGTTCGGAAGCTTTCTGGAAAAATCTGCTCCACTACCGCATGCAATACTTGCTGGCATGGCAAAGATTCAGTCTTTGAGTCAGCAGTTTCATTGGTTGAAAGAACCCACACTGCGTCCGGCGAAGGAGTTGAATCTCTTTTTGAGCCACAGGCCACAGGGAAAATTGCGTTGTGGTGAATGGCATCAACGTCCCGCATACCATTGCCGCAGGTCAAGGGTGAATGACCATGACCAGTACCATTAGCGTTGCCATGAGCATTACCATTGCTATTGGCGTCAGCATCAGACCGGCCACGGCCACCGGCCACGGCCACCGGCCACAAGCCACGCACACCACGCAACACCGGCCACGGCCACGGCCACGGCCACTGGCCACCGGCCACCCGCCACGGCCACCGTCCACCGGCCACGGCCACCGGCCACAGCCACGGTGACGGCCGGCCACCGGCCACCGGCCACGCGCACCGCCCAACACCGGCCACGGCCACGGCCACCGGCCACGCCCACGGACAAAAATGCTTTCCCCTAGCATCAAGCTCTTAGAGGGGATGGCGTTACCGTCTCCATTAGCATGGTGACTGGCCTCAAGCTCCCACATCTCCAGGGCGAATGGCGTCCCATCACCATTGCCATTAACGTCACCACGTGTCAAGGGTAAACAACCATCATTAGCATCCATTAGCAGCACCATTACAATTGGCATTGCCATTTGGATTCCCAGTGCCACAAGTAAAGGGTAAAAGGAATCAAGCTGCCGCAGGTCACAATGCACATTTAGGTGCATACCTCCCACAGGTCAAAGGGTGAATGGCATTCCATAACCATTGTCGTGAGCGTTACCATTGCCATTAGCATTTCCACACGGCAAGGGTGAATGGCCATTACCGGTACCATTGGCACTGCCATTAGCGTTCCCAGTGCCATCAGCATTAGCATCAAGCCCCCGCCAGGTCACTGAGTTAATGGCATTACCATCTTCACTACGACAGCTCACAGGGTGCATGGCATCAAGCTCCCACAGGTCGGTGAGTGGCATTACCACCACCATTGCCATTAGCATTACCATCACCATGTGCATTACCATGGTCACAGGTCAAGGGTGAATGGCATCAAGCTACCACAAATCAACGGTGAATGGTTGTAACAAAAGAAGGCTCCAAACTTCTGTGGGAAGCATCCAGGACGGATTACAATACCATACCCAACGCTAGACCTATTGCATCTTGAAGCAGTCCAAAAACATCAAATTACACCACCGTAGACTCCAAACAGGTGGGACAACAACGAAGCATTCCCAAGTCCACATTTTGAGACATCAACAAGAAGGGAGACAAGAAGGGAGACAAAAGGAAACAGAAGGGAGACAAGACAATGGCCAACAAGAAGGGAGACAAGAAGGGGAACAAAAGGAAACAGAAGGGAGACAAGACGGACACAATGGCCAACAAGAAGGAAGACAAAAGGAAACAGAAGGGAGACAAGATGCACGCAATGGCGACAAGGCGGACACAGTGACCAACAAGAAGGGAGACAAGAAGGGAGACAAAGGTAACAGAGGGGGACAAGGCGGACACAGTGACCAACAAGAAGTGAGACAAGACCGGAGACAAAGGGAGACAGAAGGGAGAAGGCGGACACAGTGACCAACAAGAAGGGAGACTAAGGGAGACAAGGCGGACACGCTGTCCCGCAGCAAGGCGGACACTCTTAGAAAGCCTTGAGGACCCCTAACAGTATATAACCTGTTTGGGGAAGTGCAGAAACCACCTGGGAGACGAATGAGTAGAAATGCTGGAAAGGGGAACCTGGAAAAGAAAAGTAAACAAATCATTTGGGAGGCAAATGACTAGAAACGCTGCATGGCCAGCGGATTAGGGTGGACATTAGCAGGGCACACCGAACTTGGGAGACAAAAGTAAAGAAACCACTTTTGATACAAATGAATTGAAACGCTGAATGGCCAGCGGAAAAGGGCGGACGCCAGCAGTGACAGAAAGGGCGGACACGTTTTAAAAAGGAATTGAGAACCCCTAAAAGTACACTGATTGGGGAATGAATAGAAATGTTGCGTCGCCAGCGGAAAAGGGCGGACGCAAGCAGTGACAGACCTGGGACAAATGAATAGAAATGCTACATGGCCAACGGAAAAGGGCGGACACCAGCAGCAACAGACCTGGGAGACAAATGAATTCAAATGCTACATGGCCAGCGGAAAAGGGCGGACACCGCCAGTGACAAACCTGGAAGACAAATGAATAGAAATGTTGCATCGCCAGCGGAAAAGGGCGGACACCAGCAGTGACAGACCTCGGAGACAAATGAGTAGAAATGCTACATGGCCAACAGAAAAGGGCGGACACCACCAGTGACAGACCTGGTAGACGAATGAATTCAAATGCTACATGGCCACCGGAAAACGGCGGACACCACCAGTGACGGACCAGTCGAAAAGGGCGGACACCCCCAGTGACAGACCTGGGAGACAAATGAATAGAATGTTGCATCGCCAGCAGAAAAGGGCGGACACCAGCAGTGACAGACCTGGGAGACAAATGAATA